TTTTTTTTTTCTGTGGATCTTGTTGTTTCATGATGATGGAGGAATTGATTGATGAAGAAGGCTAGGTAAGATGAGGATCTGAGAACTGGGAATGGGGAAGAAAGGGGGAGAAGAGTTCAAGCTTTGCAGGAGGTGGGGCCCACTCTTTTTTTTTTTTTGATTTTGGATCCGAATCATACTGCCATGTCATTTTTTTTACAAGTGTGCATATGAGGTGTCATTCTATTTTGACACATCATCATGCTTCAGTTAATTAATAGGACACGTCATTGGATTTTTTAACGGAGGGACTAAATTGGGGTAAAAATGGTAAACAGTAGGGACCAAGTTAGGGATTTTTTGAGTTGAGGGACTAAGTCGAGGGTCCGTACAATAGTTGAAGGACCAAAAAGGGGATTTAACCAAATTTTTATGTGAATTTTAATTGATTTAAAGATAAAATAAAAAAAATTATTATTTTGATTTTAATAGAGTATTATTTTTGATAATCTATATAAGCTTGACAGATTTTTTTGGTGTTTATTTATTATTTATTACTATTATTTTTTGAATAAGAAGAACAATTCGTTTAAAATATACCACTTCTGTTTAATCGAAATAGAGATGGAGAGCACTCGGATTGCGGCAAGGAGAGCGGCAGCAAGGAAAGACAACGACTACAGACAGCGGCAAGGATACAGGAATGGTTATGCAGGTGGCTACAGAAAGCGCCAAAGAGACAGGAATGGTTCGACAGAGGGTTACAGACAGTGGCAAGGAGGCAGGAATGGTTTTGCAGGTTATACCGCACAGTTCTTCGGAGGGTCAACATCATTCTTCTTTTATAACTTCCCAGAGGAAATGGAGGCAAAGTTTCTATGGAACAGTTTTCAGATGCACGGCAAGGTAGTGGATGTGTATCTTCCGAGCAAAAGAGATAGGAGAGGGAAAAGGTATGGTTTCGTAAGGTTAACAGGGGTCAAGGATGTGATTCAAATGGAGAGGAGGCTGAATGAGATCTGGATTGGCTCCTACAAGATGAGAGTGAAGATTGCAAATGACAGACAGAGGAAAGAATCAAAGCCCAGAAAGGTTCAAGGCGTGTTTAAAGCTAATGGATCAACATGCAGCATGTATAGATTGGTTCAACCAGGGCATTCATACGCACAAGCAGTGAAGGGCCAAGGAAAAATGGCGGATAACGTATTAGAACAGCTACAGGAAAAGGTATACGAAGCAGTCCCAGAAAAGGAAGGGGTCAAAACAGGGATGCAGGAGAATTCGGAGGTAGAAAAAACAAAGGAGACAATTGAATACACCCCAACGGGAGAAGAGCTGCAATGGCTTGAGGGTGGCATGGTGGCAGTGGTGAGGTCTATGGCAATGGTGTCTGAGATTCAAGAGCACATGGACGCTGATGGAGGTTCAATCTCATTATCACCAATTGGGGGAAGACGGGTGCTACTAACTGAAAAAGTTGCAGGGTTTTTATCCGATTATATGAAGCATAACCAGGAGTTGTTTGGACTGTGGTTCGAGGCTATAAAACCATGGGAGATGGACCCAGAGGAGAAAAGCCGAATGATGTGGTTGCGCATATCCGGTGTGCCTTTAAAGGCATGGAGTGAGAGGTGTTTTCAGAGGATTGGAGAGACAATCGGAGAAGTGTTGATGATTCATGAGGATACAAAGAAGAAATCAATCTTATGGGATGGGAGAGTATTGATATTAGGCTCGGAGTCGGGTAAAGTCTCAAAACAAGTTAAGCTCAAGGTGGGAGAGCAGGAATACAACATAGAGATAGTTGAAGAAGAGTGGCGCTCTGATCCGGATTGGTGGTTATTGGAGAACGACCGGAGAAGTGACCTGGAAACGGAGTCCGGTTACTCAAACTCGTGGTGTCAGAATGAGGATCCTGAACTGGATTTGGAAGTGATGGGTGACGGCGAGGATACAAGTAACGGGTTAGAGCATTTAATGAAGGAGTTGGTTTCAATTTCAAATCCGAAGAGGGCAACGGAAATGGAGAGCTGTAATCAAGGGGTGCAAGAGACAGTATGTGAAGGGGATGCAAGCTTTGGGCTGTCCAAGGAAATTGGGCTACAAAAATTGAGTGTTGATGGGCCAGAAGAAAGCAGTGGGCCGAATATTGGGATGGGCAGAGGACAGATCACGCATATGAGCATAGAGGAGCCCAGTTTAAATGCTCAAAACCAAATGGATTCACCGACTCTGCAGAAACCGGAAAACTCAAAAATCGTGAGCAAAAAACAGAGGCTGCTTAGAGAATGCTATCCGAAAAGCATGGAGGAGATCTGGGCAACAGCAGCCCCGAGAGCAACGCCCAGAACAAGGCAACGACATGCACGGATGGAAGGAAATTGTCAAGCTGGGGAAGAAAAGGTAGGCATCGCTGTCTCTGTTTCAATCTCAGATGGTTGTATAGAAAATAGAAATAGGGTGCTGCAGAAGGAGTTGAATATGCATGAGGTGCGCCGGATGATGGGGGTGGGGAAGAGGTTGGGTTTTAAAATGGAGAATTTTGAGGAGGAGATTCAATCAAAATTAATGGAGGTAGTAGATTGGGAAGGGGCAGGGAAGAAGGACGCGTCGGGGATGTAAGGGCGGTTGTGCCGAAAGGAGGTTGTGTGACAAGAAGTAATTTATGAAATTAATATCTTTTAATGTAAGGGGCTTGGGTGGGACGCTGAAAAAGAAGGAAGTGAGGAGGATGGTGTCTGACGAGAAGCCTGATTTTATGTTCTTGCAGGAAACAAAGTTAGAAAAGGTGGATGTTGGTGTTTGTAGACAGTTGTGGAATTCAGATGAGTTTGATTGGGTTGCGAAGGGCTCTTCTGGAGCGTCGGGGGGTCTACTATGTATATGGGACAGGCGGTATTTTGTTAAGAGGGAAGAATTCAGTGGAGATGGGTTCGTGGGAATATCAGGGGAATGGAGTGTAAATAAACAGTTGTATTTTTTAATAAACGTGTATGGTCCAAAGGAGAGACAGAAGAAAGCTAATTTGTGGGAGGAGTTGAGGAGAATGGTGACAAACAAGGAGGGATGTTGGTTAATAGCAGGGGATTTTAATGCAGTGAGAGGTCCTGAGGAAAGAAGAGGAAGAACAGGGGAGACCCCGGACATGAAGGATTTTGATGAGTTTATTGTGACAACGGATTTGGTGGATGTTAAACTGTCGAATAGAAGGTATACATGGTATAAGCCAGATGGTACAGCAAGGAGTAGATTGGACAGATTTCTATTGAACACTGAGATGAGCAATATGGAAGGGGAGTGGATACAGCAAGGATTGTCAAGGAATATCTCTGATCATTGCGCTATTGTGTTGAAGTCCAGAACAACAGATTGGGGACCAAGACCTTTCCGGGTTTTGGACGCATGGCAACAACATCCAGATTTTAAGAAGCTTGTAGAAGATAAATGGAGTGAGATGGAGGTCGAGGGCTTTGCTGGGTATAAGTGCCAGCAAAAGCTGAAATTACTCAAAGGAGTTTTAAAAGGTTGGAACAAGGAAGTCTTTGGGAACATGGATGCTCAATATGAGCAAGCAGTAAAAAAGATTGAGCAGGTTGACATGCAGAATGAGATAGCTGATCTGGAAGATGCTGAGATTGTGAAGAGACAAGAAGGATTCTCTGAGATGTGGGATGTTTTGAGAAAAAAGGAACTTATCTGGAAGCAGAAATCAAGAAGTAAATGGGTGCGTGAGGGAGATGCAAATACCCGTTTCTTTCATAGAGTCGCAAAAGGAAGAAGGGCACAGAATAATATTGCGGGTTTAATGTGTGAAGGGGCATGGATTGAAGATCCAGATTTAGTCAAAAATGAGGTCTGCAGATATTTTAGAAGCCTGTTTCAAGGAGAGTCATGGAATAGACCCAAGCTTGGGAATATTAAATTCCAGCAGATCTCTGAGGAGAAGAAGGATTGGCTAGAAAGACCTTTTTCAGCTGAAGAAATCGAGGAAGCGTTAAGGAGTTGTGATGGTTCAAAGGCTCCGGGACCTGACGGATACAATTTCAACTTCCTTAAATTTGCTTGGCAAAGCATAAAGGAGGACTTCATCAACTTTTTTTTCTGAATTCCATCGTAACGGAAAATTGGTGAGGGGACTAAATTCTTTTTTTATAGCCTTGATTCCTAAAAAGTTGAATGTTGGGGGACTAAAGGATTATAGACCCATTAGCTTGTTAGGATGTGTCTATAAATTATTAGCGAAGGTGCTGGCAAATAGATTGAAATCTGTGATAGCAGAAATAGTGAGTGAAACGCAATCCGCCTTTGTAGGGGGCCGACAGTTGGTGGATAGTGTCTTGGTGCTTAATGAAGTTGTGGATGAAGTTAAAAGGAAGAAACAGCCAGCTTTTGTTTTCAAAGCAGATTTCGAAAAGGCATACGATTGCGTAGATTGGTCCTTTTTGGACTGGATGATGGAGAGGCTTGGCTTTGGAACAAAGTGGAGAGGCTGGATTAGGGAATGTCTTTCAACGGCGAGAATCTCGGTCCTGGTAAACGGAAGCCCGACAAAGGAATTTGAGATGGGTAAAGGTTTGAGACAAGGTGACCCTTTATCTCCTTTTCTCTTTTTGATGATTGCAGAGGGGTTACAAGGGCTGGTCAAGAGAGCAGTAAAGGAGGAAATGTTGCACGGGATTGAGAGAGGAAAGAAAGGTTTGTCAGTGTTGTTGCTCCAGTTCGCGGATGATACAATTATAATGGGCAGAGCGGATGCGGAGAATATACGTATAGTGAAGGACATCCTAATATGGTTTGAGCTTATGTCGGGATTGAGGATTAACTTTAGTAAGAGCAGCGTTTTCGGTTACAATGTGTCTGAAAAATGGCTTAAAGGTGCAACGAGTATGTTACATTGTAGGGTTGGTAGAGCACCTTTTCTTTATCTGGGATTACCTGTTGATGGCAGATTTGGGAGCAAGAAATTATGGGAGCAAGTCGTAAATAAATTCCGTGCCAAACTCGCTGTCTGGAAGGCCGCTACTCTTTCCTTTGGAGGCCGCCTCATCTTGCTAAAATCGGTACTCTCTGCACTACCCATTTTTTATATGTCCTTATATTTATTACCAAATTCTGTGCTTGATGAGTTGATTAGAATTCAAAGGAACTTTTTATGGGGCGGGACAGGGTCAATTAAAAAAATTTCTTGGGTTAGATGGGAAGATGTATGTCGTGATAAAGCCAAAGGGGGTCTTGGGGTGGCAGATTTACAGAGGAAAAACTGGGCAATGATAGGAAAGTGGTGGTATAGGTTAGGTGACGGGGTCGAGAGTCTATGGAAAAGGGTGGTGAGGGAGAAGTATTATGGAGGTAGGGAGGAGGTTGATATTACTTCAATTGAGTGTTTAAGGGTGTCAAAGCTTTGGAGGGACATCATAAGGATAGGGGGTCTGTCTCTCAAACTTAGGAACATGTTAGTTGAGGGCTTCAAGTGGGAGGTGGGGGAAGGAAATAGAGTGGAGTTCTGGTCTAATAGGTGGGTTGGAGATAAGAGCCTTAGGGATCTTTTTCCAAGATTATTTGCACTAGCTGTAAAGAAGGAGGGCAAGGTTGCTGAAATGGGGACTTGGGAGGAGGGTAGATGGTGCTGGCGGGTGGAGTGGAGGAGGGGTACAATAGGGCGAGAGAAAGATGAGGAAGAATTGTTGGAGAAGGTGCTGGAGGGTGTCAATCTAAAGGAGGGGGCTGGGGATGTTTGGAAGTGGGTACATGGGATGGATGGTAAATACGTGGTGAAGCTAGCGTATGATTTTTTAGCTTCGTCCGAGAGGGTTTTGGAGGACCAGATGTGCAAACTAATAGGGTGCAAGTTGGTGCCATCCAAAGTGGCTTTTTTTGGGTGGCGACTGTGTTTAGATAGACTCCCAACAAAGAATAACTTGCAAAAACGAGGGATATTATTGCAGGAGGGGGTTTTATGCGAATGTGGTAATGGGAAGCTGGAGGAAGTTAATCATTTATTTTGTGTATGTGATAATGCGTGGTTAGCTTGGACTCAAGTGTTGAGTTGGTGGGGTTTAGAGTATGTTCTGCCTAACACAGTTGTGGGAGTGGCAGAATTTTTCATTGGAGGTTTGGGCAGAATAGTTGGGAAGGAGATGGGCTCATGTGTTTTTCTAGTGGTCGCTTGGTATTTATGGTATAGAAGGAATGTTCAAGTGTTTCGAAAAGATGAAGGAATACCAGAAAACCTGCTGGAAAGGATGCAAGTTAAAACCTTTTTATGGATTAAATCCAAAGTCAATGACTGTGTTCTTTCCTTTTATGAATGGCAATCCTATCCAATGGAGTGTGCTATGTCTATCAAAAATCATAAAAGGATGAGGAAGCAGTTCTATAAAGCGGTAGCTACCTCCAGTTGATGGATAGGCGGAGCAGATTTCTCTTTAATGTTTTGTCTTGGGCACCTGACGCTTTTGATGTATGTGGTGGTTGATTAGCTGTATTTCTGGTTATTAGGAGAGTGGCTCTCCTCTGTTCTGGTTTCCTATTTTTGTATAAAGGCAGGAGCACCCCTTGTGCTTCATTAAATTAATTTTTCTTTGGCTGATCAAAAAAAAAAAATTATTTTTTGAATAAGGTAAATTCTGTCTATTTATTTATTTATTACAACTCAAGTAAAAGGCATCTTATTTTCATTAAAAAATTAGCACTTGATTACGCAAGTTATTGACTTAATTTTACTATTTCTTATGTTTTTTTTTTTTTTGATAAAGACAATGGTTAATAAGTTAGTTTTATTAATTGTTAGTAATTGGAGATTCGATCCCAGATCTGATAAACATTCCACCTCCTTCAATAAAATGCGCAACCCATCGAACCGCTTAGTGAAGTTCTTATTTCTTATGTGTTTAAACTTTGAAATGAGTGTTCTTGTATAAAATATGTATAAAATCGTGGGTGTGTTTCATGTTTCCCAATTAGGAAAAGATTACTTCTACTTTTAACTTTTAAGTATGAAAAAAATGAATCGATGAAATGGTGACACCCAATTGCGCGCACACAAAACCCATTTTTATTTTACAACTACCCCTTTGAAAACAACAAATACATTAAACAATCGACTTTATTATTATTTTTGAATAGATTGAAATTATTTACATATATTAATTGAAAAAAAAATAAAAAAAATTTCGTAAAATTCGAACACACCACCCATAAAAGATAAATAGCTCTCATATAAAGTTCATGTCACTTAATCAAAAAAGACGGTTTGACTTCATCCCCTCTTTTTGATGGGTCATTCCATGATTTCAATGCCAAATTCAACATATTATAGATAATGTTATATATAAAAAAGAGTGTTCATTATTACATTGGTATAATTCCACATGAAAAATGAAGATCTTGTAACAAAGTGCCAAAGGGGCCACCATCAAATGCCTTGGACACTTGTTAGGGTCAAACCATTAATATGCCAAATTAATAACAACCCCGCCCAGCCCTACCCAACCAAACCCTTTGGATTTTTAAAACCAAACGAGTGCAACCTTCATCTTGGATTATTTTACTTATACATTCTTCCTTAATGTCAAAATAGTTGTTATTTTT